GTCACAGCCACTCCACAGACACTGCCCTCTTTCTGGTCACCAATGACCTTTTTGTATTGCCAAACTGTCCACCCACCGTGGCCCCCTAAACCCCGAGCCTCCCTGCCAGCCCCCAGTGCTCAGAGATGATTCCAATACGCAGCTCCCTCGCCCAGGGCTTGCTCTAATGCCACCTTTCCCACGTGCATCCTACCTCGATGTCCCATCGCGGCCCGCGGCTGTAAGGACTTCACGTTCACCAAGGCCACCATCTGCCCCAGCCCCTGCCCACACTTCACACCCAGACCTCCGGCTGCCATCTCAGTGCTTCTTCCCAGAGGCTTCATGTGGGTCGCACACTCCCACGTCCAAAGCCAAGCTCTTGGTTTTGGTCCCAACCTGTTCCTCCCACAGAGTTTTCCAGTTCATAAATGACATCAGCGTTTATGCAGGTGTCCGGGGAACATGGATGAAATACACTGCCTCTGTTTCCGCACAAGCTTGCTGGGCTCCAGGGCTAGCGTCTCCCGGCAGTTGGTCCCCCCTAGTCCTGTCTCCCTTGTGGCCGCCATCGACCTCCCTTCTACCATGGCCCCAAACTGACCACTCTCCTTTCCTTCTGCTCCCTGAAACTCCTTCTCAAAACCACCACCAGGGTAACTGAGACCCTGGAGGCTGAGACTATGGGGGGACTGTCATTCCAGAAAGTTCACCTGGAATTCACGGTGGGTGCATAAAGGATTAGCTCACAGCCGAGAAGAAAGGGGGGAAAGAATTGTTAATGCTGCGCGTTAGACCTGGTATAATCACACTTGATTCAGGTAGGAAACGCAGTGGTGCCTTAGGCACAGTACTGACCCCTGGCTTCTCAAAAGCCGCTGTGGTGATGGTGACAAGGTGCGGGAGGAGAAGGTATGCAGCAGAGGGAAACCAAAGCTTGCCCGAGAGCAGACACTCATTCTCCATCGCAGGAAGCCACGGGACGTCCAGTGGCAGAAAATCAGGAAACACCACTAAGTGTGTTTGATTTTATAAACTAACTACATGTATTTTTAATGCATAATAAAAGAAAAAAATCCAGGATTAGGAGAGATCAGAATGCATCTTTAAAGTCCACATACCATTATATTGAAGTTCCTATTTGTTTATTTATATTGTATTTATTTATTCTTGTCTGTTTGAGACAGCATCTCTCTATGTAGTTCAGGCTGGCTTGAGCTCACTTTGTAGATCAGACTCACCTCAAATTCATAGCAATCCTCCTGCCTCAGCCTCCCAAATGTTGGGATTACAGGCGAGAGCCACCATACCCAGCCTTTGTTACTTATTTAAGGGTCTTGTTACTGCCTTTCTCCTAGGATGTAATTTCTGTATTTTTATTTTAGGGACATTCAAAATGTTTGGCTAATAAACCATAGTTCTTCCCTTGGAGGGTGGCATTATGAAACATTTTTAGAGGACTTAAAATATTAATTTAAAAATTAATTTTGTTCAAAAGAACATAAACCCATTGACTGCCTAGCAAATTGTTCCACATATATTCTTCCCTATTTAAAAAAAATCAGTATTTGGTTTTCAATGTCAGTTTGAGCTCATTAAAAATAGAACAGTCAAGATGAAGTCTTTTTTACTAATACAAAAATAATTTCTGGATGCAAAGAGTATTTGTTTAAAGAACAATTTCTCTTTCTGTGGAACAATAACATTTGAGAACAAGGAAAGAAGAAAAATAATTTCATTTCAGCTTTTCATGAGTACTATAAATAGCAAAGAACCGGCCTATCTTTTTCCATAACTCAGACAATTAAAATAATTGCCTACTGAAGGTATAGGATGTGGATTGTAATACAATCCCCTCCAGAAGTCAGAGCTCGAACTGTGACTCCATCTCTCAGAAGTGGATGATTTGGGAACCTCCTCCCAGTGGATACTGCCTCATCTAAAATCACCCGTGTGAGGGGTCAGGGACGAGCAGTCCCAGGCAGGTGCTTGGCCCCTCTGGGCAGCAGAAAGAAGGGTGGTGACCACCACCTGAGAAGAAGGTGATTTGCTGAATTTAAGAGTGTGGGGTTTGCTGGGATTTGAAAGCTGCAGTAAAGAGTTTTGGTTTTATTTGCGATAAGAAGCTGCAAAAGCAGAGCTGTGGAGTTCAGACTTCTGATGAATTAGCAGTAATTTAGCATGTGTCATTGAGACCTCATCAGAAAAGGATGCTCTGACTTCTAAGTACTAGAACTACCAAATTCGGTGTCCAAGTAGAAGGCAAAGCCGGTCAACCAATGCTAATTAGGCTTTTCACTCTTCCTTGTGCATGTGGGGGGAAATAAACCAGGGGAAGCTGAGCGGCTGCTTCTAGAGTGAGAGACCTGGGTGGTGGTCCTAGGTTGGAAGCTGGGGACAGGCAGGCAGGTGCAGGAAAGGGCCTGGGTCAGGTGGACTCGCCAAGAGACCATCTTTGGTTCAGGTGATCACTTAAAATCTTACTCACTCATGAGAATAAAATGGAAGTGTCATGGTGGTGGCTACTGATGCCAGAGCTACTGCTGGTCACAATCTGTCTTCACAGATGCCCCTGGGAGGGGGAAGAACGACCTCAGCGGGCAGTGGGAGCCGAGAGGACGGGACAGTAATACCGCTTTGACCTCCTCCCATGCTCTGTGCACCTGGGCTCTTTCCTTCAGCCGAGTCACGGAGATGGGGTGAGAAGGCCTCAGACACACAGCGCAGGGGCCACGCACTGGGGTGCTGGGAGCCCCAGCCCAGAGGGGCACGTCTGACCAGTATACCAGTCTCAGAATGCCAGGGGAGAGGTGGCTCTGGGCATGGTGATGCCACAAGGAGACTCAGGTTTTCCAAGTTGGGTCGCATCAGTGACTCGAGCAGAATCATTTCCAAGTTCTGACTCCACACAAAAGACAAGAGTCAAGCCCATGTTCATTAGATCTTGGGTCTTTTGAGGAGGTCTCACAGGAAAATAATAATAAAATATGTAAGTTTGAAATAACAAACTACAGGTGTGATATTCCTCTTCATAGGAACAACTGCACTGTGGGCGCGGTAGTGCGTGGCTGTGATCCCAGGACTCAGGAGGCTGAGGCGGGAGGATCCTGAGTTTGAAGTCAGCCTGGACTACCTAGAGTTCAATGCCAGTTTGAACTATGCAGCAAGACCGTGTTTCAAAACAACAACCACTGCAACCACAGCAACAAAACTGAGCCAAGCATGGGGCACATGCCTGCAGTCCCAGGACTTGAGAGGCTGAGGCAGGAGGCCTCTGTGAGTTCAAGGCCAGCCTGGGCTACATAATGAGTTCAAGGTCAGCCTGAACTACATAGTGAGACGCTGGCTAAAAATACCAAAAAATCATATATATATGGGGGAGCAATGCCCGATATTAGTTTTGTAAGTGCAGAGTGTGTGTTGTCGATAGTGATATTTACTTATTTACTTATTTTTGCAGTTCTGTGGGTCAAACTCAGGCCCCTGTGCATGCCAGTCAGGCAAGGCTATGCGTCCATCCTGTTATGTTTAAACAGTGAATGACCTTCTGTGGGTTCCCTGTCATCTTTTGTTGGCATGCACATCCTTCTAAAGAATTCGCTTTAGTTTATTTAAGAAGATACTCAAGTGGGATATTATGGAGACTAACTGGCCTCTCAATAATGTTTTATGGGTTATTATTCCTAGTCTTCAGTATGTACTGCTCTTGGGGGAAGGAAGGGGGAAAGGAAATAATATTTATTCAGTTTTCACTGAAGAGGGTTGGTGTTTCTCTCTCTCTCTCTCTCTCTCTCTCTCTCTCTCTCTCTCTGTCTCTCAGACAGGGTCTCTAAGTAGCCCAGGCTGGCCTTAAACTCATGGTGATCCTCCTGCCTCAGCCTCTCAAGTGCTGGGATTACAGGTGTGCACCACCATGCCCAATTTGGAGATGAAATTTGTCCTTAGCTCAGGTGGTCTTGGGAGCAAGTGGCCACCTGATGAAAGGCAATGGCTATGACATCAGAGGTGTCCAAGGTCCCACTGCAGCTCTGGCACTTCTTGACATGGGACCTGGGTTAAACCACATGAGGCCTTGGGCTGTTTACCCATGAATGGTCACAAGGAATAAAATAATGCCTTTAAACATTGGCAGGGGACCTGGCACCAGCAGTGGCAAGCAAGGCACTCATCCTGGGTGTAAGTCCAAAGGGGTGCCCCAGAGCTAGGGGCTGAGAGAAACCACAGTTGAACGCAGCACTCCCAGAAATGAGACTGGTGCGGAGAATCCAAGGTTAACCACACAGGAACCTTTCCACAAAGACAGGGTCGAAAATCCTGCTCTGTGCCTGGCTTCAGTGGGACCTACATGGCACTCCGTCCCACACCTGTGCCAGTGGGCACGGCCCTTCCTCCTGCTGCTGCACAGAAAGGAAGGCTGTCTTTTAATCCCCCACCTACCATGCTCACCATCCAATAATGTACTGCTCAGCAGGAAACCTGGATGGGAGGTCGGCTGGTGGGAGCTTGCTGTGTAGACCTCAGGTGATGTCAGGAGCCACCTGAGGGTGAGTCTGTTTTAATTCTGAGGTTCTTCTAGAGCTTCTGGCCACAAGCCCTGCGAATAGTCTTTCTGTCACACACGGGAAGTAGCACTGAGTCTCAGGTGTGTGCTGAAAACTACATCCCGAAGATGGGCTGGTCCTTCTTTGTATGCCAGGTGCTCCCGGAAAGGTCTTCCTGATAGTTTAAGCTTCCCCAGCTGGTTGTGCCTGAATTGTAGGTCCTTTAAGAAACCTTTGTGGAACTGGGCATGGTGGCACACACCTACAATCCCAGCACTTGGGAGGCTGAGGCAGGAGGATTCTTGTGAGTTCAAACCCAGCCTGGACTACATAGTGAGAATCTGTCTCAAAAAAAACATTCTGTAATAAACAGACAGCAACAAAGTCATAAGAAAAACAATATTTAAGAGGACTAGCCTATTCATGAAAGAAATTAGCAAAATAAGCCAGCTATTAAATATTCAAAACATGAAAAACCCATTATGTTTCCACAGAAGAGGAGAAAAGTATTTCTTTAATTATGTTACTAATATCAACAAAACCAAAGAGAGCCATGAAGAATAATATGTGCGCTAGCTGGTTGTTGATACAGATTTTTAGTTTGTGAAGAGAGTAGCGTTCCCAAAGCCTGAGCCCTGCCTTAGCTCAATATCAAATTTCTCCTAAACAATGAAACATTTAAAAAAGGAAACAGATATGGTGATAATGAAATGAATGGTAGAGTTCAGATTGTCAGTCGGTAAGCAATAATGTTTTTTATTTGTTTGTTTTGCTTTGTTTTTGAGACAGGGTCTCGCTATGCAGTTCAGTCTGGTCTTGAGTTCACTTTGTAACCCAGGCTGGTCTCGAACTCACAAGGATCCTCCTGCCTCAGCCTCCAGAGTGCTGGGATGACAGGCATGTGCCACGATGCCAAGCACAACAATGTAAGAGGCTTCCCGTTCTCCCCAGCAGTAGACATAAAGGCGAAGACCATTACTCCCTACCTTGAAGGCCGCTTGTGCTGAGTCTGCGGGTGCCGCCTGTGGCCTTCACCATAACCGAGAAATTCTCTAAAGAGAGACAAGCCTGTCTCCCCCAGCTGACATTTCAAGCCCACAGCCATCTGATGACGGAAAAATACTCATTAGACGCCCCCAGTGACTTTCAGGTCCCCAGATCAGCTGCAAACGTCCGTCCTAGAGACCTTTCCCCAGCATCCTCGGATGTGAGCCCCGACTCTGCGTCCTCCTTACGCCCCTTGGGGTCCCCTCCTCCTCCTCTTTCGGGTCCCTCCCTGTGACCATGTTCATTCTTTGGCACCTCGATATCTGGGTGAACATACCCTCCAGACAGAGCGGGCGCCCCACGCCCGCGGGGGACAGCTGAGGACAGGACCAGATGACGAAGCCCCTTCCGGGCCTCTCCGTTTTACGGAAGTTTTCGCCCACGCAGGACCCTCAACTTCACCGAGGGGGCCCTGCTTGCAGGCCTCATACCTGTCCTGTACACTCCTTTCCCCTTCCTTTATTGTTTTCACATTTATTAATGTGAATATTTAAAAACTTTTATTTACACTTAAAATAAGTATCTCCACTGAAAACGTAGTATTCGTTTTTAGGGATCTGCCAAACGCATGGTTACCTGTCCTTGCGTGGGCTGGGGCGCCCCAGCAGATCTCTGGTGATGGAGAGCTAGTGTCCCGTGACATCTACACGCCCCTGTTTCAGTATTAATCATCTTAGACCAAAGTAGGGCAGGTGAGACTGGAGACTTCCTTAAAGCCATAAAGCTTCCAGAACTGACCTGGACGTTTCATCTTCAGGATTTGGGCACGCAGACACAGGACCAGGGCCCAGCCACGCGATAAATTAAAAACAAAACGAAGAACCAGAAACTTGACAATGTCTGTGCCAGTGTCTGAGCTTTTGAGAGATGAGTGTCCAAACTGCAACCCAAAACCCACTTACAGATTGCGAAGAGCCAACCCTGCGATTCGACCTGAGAAAGAGCGCCCCCTGCGGCACAAGCGCCAAGGTTCGCCACCACTGGCTCAGCGTGTACATTGCGCAAATTATTTACATTTAACCGCTGGTTGGTGAGTAACGTTCCTGCCTGCAAGTTTGTACTTACTCTTTTTGATGAATCCCGTTTAGCAAACTACCAGCATAAAGTAATTGGCAATTATGGATTGTTTAATGAGAGAGAGAGAGAGAGAGAGAGAGAGAGAGAGAGAGAGAGAGAGAGAAATCTATTTCTCATAATGAGCTCCAATACAAATAATTCTGGAGAAATGGATACTCGATTGCAATGTATCTTACAGGAATAGAAAAAGGTGGGAAAGAAATTAGGGCAAGCTTACACCCCTGTGCATTCACTGTCAACTCTCTTAGAATTCTGAACAAATTGCTTGGAAAGAGAGAAAGAAGTTGGTCAGAAGTGGGATGTCGGAGGCTTGATTTTGAGTCTCCCTTGCTGCTGCAGGACTCCTGTGTTTAAAGAACTGTAGCTACATTTTCTCGTTGTGAGTGGATTTGCAACAATGCTGGTGTTCTGTTTATGTTACTTGGCGCTTATTTTCTTCTTTTAGCACTGGGAATTGAACTTGGGGCCTTATGCATGCTAAGCAGGAACTTGGCTACCGAGCTGTCTCCCTATCCAAATCAGCATAAATCGTAAAAAGGAAATTAACAGAGGTTGTGTCCACGTGACCAGGGCCCCTCAGCTTTTCTCCCCTGAGCTGTGGGAATCTTGCAGCAGATGAAATACCCACGTCACGATCTGAAGACCCCCAGAAGTCTCCGGTCCAGGTGGTGCACCACATGAAGGGATACAAAGCTCGGCTGACCCTATCCTAGTGGGGAGCCTGCTGGGGATAAGAGAATACACCCCTGGTTCGGACAGGTGTTCCTGGTGACACCTGTGTCCTTTCAGAAACGGTGGCAAATTGCTTCTGCTTCACATCTATCTGAAGTGGCAGAAAGTCCCAGGGAAGTCGAGTAACACAGTCATCACGATGACACAGACTTCAGCAGATAAACGGCGAGGAGGACAGCAGTAGTCTCGGAGCTTTTCCAGGGCGCACGGGTTGCTGTGGGGTCCAGGTCCACGTTCCAGGGCGCAGAGCCGGCCGGCCGCTCAGCGCCAGCGGCAGGTACTTTGCGGTGTGTCCACACAGGTCCCCCTGATGAGTGTCGCCAAGCCGCAGGCTCCGAGAGAGAGTCTCGCGCGCGCCTTCCCCCTCGTCTTCCTTTGTGTCTTAGGAATAAACACAGTTTCCAGCGCTTGGCAGACGTTCAGTAAACGCTACAGACTGAATGAAGGAGCCCTCCGCGGGGGCATTACCCGATCTCCCAGGCGAGGACTCAGCCGCGGGATACCCAAGAGCGCGCACAGGCGCGCGCGCGCACAGACTTGCGCGCACCGGGACTCGCAGCCGGGTCCCTCCTTGAGTCACGCTCTCCCTCCCCTCCCGGGGATGGGGAGCCGGGCGCTCGGCGCGGAGCCCGACGTCTGGGTAAGTAGAGCCCTGGGGGCGAGGCGAACGCGGCAGGCGGAGGTGGGTCCCCAGCGCGCAGCCGCCCACGCGAGCAGGGCATGGGAGCCGCGCGCGGAGCCCGGGACGCGGAGCCGGCGCGCGGAGGGGAGGCGCCCCGGCTGCGCGCCGCAAGGTGACCCGGGGGCCCTAGACTCGCTCACCTGCACAGGTGGGGCGTGCGCCCGCGCGCGCTCCTCCCTAGCTCCGGGCGGGAAGGGCGGGGCACTGTCTCTGTGGGCAGGAGGTTTCGTAAGAGCGGGATGCCGGGGCTCAGCGGAGCCTCCCTTTGCAGCCCCGGGCTCTCCTCCTCCCGAGCGCAGTGCAGCCCCCCGCCCAGCGGTGGACCCGGGCAGCCACGCCGAGCGGCTATTTCGGGCGCAGCGCGCAGTGGGGGGAGGCGCGGCGGGCGGGCGGGGATGCCTAGGCTCCGGTGCCTGGCAACTGCGTCCAGGCAACGCGGGCCTCCGCGCCCCTCCCGCCGCCAGCCGCGGCCGCGCGCGCTGATTGGCCGGCGCTCCCCGCGGCGCGGCTGCAGCCCCGAGCCCGCAGAGCCCGCAGAGCCCGCCGCGCCTGAGAGCGGCCCGCGCCGGTGAGCGCCGCGCCCGGCTGCCTGCCGGGGACGACGCCGCGCCTCACCCACGGTGAACCGCATGCTGGCCGGAGGGTGGAGCTGGGCGCGGGGCGCACTGGTGTGGCGTGGGCTGCATGCTCGCGGACCGGCAGGGGCTCCGGGGACGCTCGCGGCGCGGGGCGGTGCGCGGCAGGGGCGCGTCCGCATCCCGCTCTCGGGGCCGAGTGACCTTGGGTGGGTTAACCCAGCTCCCCTTTAGACCGAAGGGGCTTGGGGTCCTGTGCAGGTGTGTTGGGCCATGGTGCCGCGAGCCCAGGGACGGCCCAAAGTACGGTTCGGTTCGACGAATGCTGGGTCTGCGTGTTTATTTGGCGAGGGGTTTCCCGGAACCGATTCCCGAAGTGGCAAGGGGTGTTACTGCCCTGCGGAAAATGCGGGGAGAGCAGGCTGAGGTCTGCAGAGTGGCTTCTAAAAATGCACGGTCAAAACCTCCGGGTGCCCCCAAGTCATGAGCAGAATCCGGGTTAAGGCTCCCGAGTACTTCTTTTCTGTAGTTGAGCTCATAGGAAACTTTGAACAGGTAAAATCAAAACCCAGTAGTGGCTGGCAGTAGCAAATTAAATGAGTCATTTCTTCAGTGAGCATGAGGATGTGTGTGTGTGTGTGTGTGTGTGTGTGTGTGTGTGTAAGAGAGAGAATGCGCACGCGCGCACCCTCAGTTTAAAGTCTGTGTATGAGGGTGTTAGGAATTATTTCATAGGAGCGATCAGAAATAATGCTAAACTGGCTTAAAGATGTCAGAGCGCTGCTTTCTCTGAAGCAATGACAAACATGCTGGATTCGAGGTTCGAGAGAGTAAATATGCCGCGTTCTTGATAACCGTCTGTAGGATTTGCACATTGTATCTGGGTTCAGAGCTCCGTCGTGGCATATGTGTGTGTGAGTGTCTGATAGGCTGTGGTTCCTCTTCTAATTTTAGCACTGACTGGTGCTAAAAAAGACACGCGGGCTCTTTTCCACTTTCTCCATCGCAGACTTCCCTGTTCCCCCAGAGCGACGCCAGGGGGCCCGGTCCCCCGCCTCGCAGGCCCCTTGTGACTTTCAGCCTCAAGGAGATCCTGTGTGTTCGTCCACATCTGACTGTCTCTGTCTAAAAACGTGGGTTGGGCAAAGGCATCAGAGTTAATGAAAAGGCTTCTGCATGCTTGTTTACCTGGAGGCTTAGGAATTGTTAATGGTTTACACATCAGTAATCCAGAGGCTCGAAGAAAAATCCTCCAGGCTGGGCTGGGAATTCAGCTCTGCTATACCTCACCAGACCTCACCATGCTTGGAATCCCCCTAGCAAACTCCTCGGCCTCCTCACTGCGGGCGCTGGGCAGTGTGACTCCAGCCTGCACCCAGACTCCTGTGTATCTGTTTTTCCAGCTCTATGACAGTCTCCTCTGCTTCCCCTGGCACCCGACTTTTTCTCAGAGCAACCCTCTCTGCTGCCCTCTCACTTGAGCAAAGATGCTCATCAGTACCACCTGCAAACCACCAGCCCAGCCCCAGCCAAGCCCAGTCTGACCCCCAACCCCAACGGGACCCTCCTGCTTCCCGCTGGCTCCTACTTCACACCCTGGTGGCTCCTTGGAATCGTTTTGAAAAGCATGACTCATTAGAATCTTAAGTACACCAAACTAGAATCATCAGGGTGGGTGAGAACGTCAAAATCCTTATTTTAAAAACAAACCACAAAATAAGAAGTAGGAGCAACAGGGAAGGTAGGAGGAAGAAAGAAAACAGCGCCCTGGTGATTCTCTTGTTCACTTGGAGTTTGGTGTCGACATGGCCCGCGCTGTGGTGATAAGAGAGCTGGTGACAGGAGGGACCAGCTTCATTCTCTTTGCCTTGCTGCCTGCAGGTAACCTTGGGTTGTGTAGAGGGCCTTCTGATCTACTGACCTTAGCCACTAGCCACCACTAGCATCTAGGATGCGCTTAGGCTTGGAAATGTTTCCACCTCCAAGATCTGGAGCTTGGACTTCTGCCGATTAGCTAATTCTTTGCACCAAGGACCCTGCTGACTTGCTGTTGGCATCCCTGAAGCCCTTCCTGGCAGCTTCCCTCCTCCGGGCTTGTGGGAGGAGCCAGCTACTCAGGAGGTCTGCAGGCGAACCCTCTTTGGGACAGGTTGGGTTCCTCCCCTTCCTGTTTCCTACCAGGGTCACCCTCTCTGTGTGTCTGTTTCCAGCTGGACCTGGTGGCCTCTAGCAGAAGCCCTCACCCTAGTTCTGCCACTAATTCGTCTGGCTCTGACCTCACTCAAGTCTGGCCACATCCATGTAGAGTCCAGGCCACCCCAGAGCTTGACATCACTTAAACTTGTCGAGCGTTCCCTTCGCCCATGAGGAAAAGGACGGGCAGCGTTCCAGCCTGCAGCCCGGGCCTGCATTTGCTCTGCATTCTCCTTGTGTCCTCTTTGCTGTCCTCCTCTTGTCTCTTGGTTCCCAAAATAAAACGTCTCTATGCCCTTCTTCAGACAAGCCTAGGGTTGCACCCTGGCTCCTCCTGCCCCTCTGCCTCTGACCTTGGCTCAGCAGGGCCTGCTCCCTGCTGCTGGCCCCGTGGGAACTCGCTCTGTTTACGGGTCCCTGTCTCCACCGTGCTGCCCCAGCCCCCCCATTCCCCTGCACACTGGCTTTGCCCTCCTCGAGGGAAACTGTGTGAGGCCTGCACTGTCCCATCGCCCTTTCTGCAGCGAGGGAAGTGTTTTATACTAGTGCTGCCCCATGTGGCAGCCACAGGCCATGTGAGGCTGCTTGCCCAGTGTGGCTGGCGTGACTGAGGACCTGGGTTTTTAGGTGGCAGATTTGCATGTTCTGTGAGCTCCAGGCCCTGAGTTCCATCCCCAGCTCCACAGAAAGAGACAAATACTCAGCTTGCTTCATGCAGCACAGGAGGCTGTTGGGGACGCTGGGCCTCACTGCTGGGGACGCTGGGCCTCACTGCTGGGCTGGACCCTCTGGGGGTCTCTGCGTGTGCAGCTGTTCTGCGTCCTGCCATCTTCCTGTCTACACTGCCTGTTCCTTCGAGGAACCCTCGCTGCAGGTCGGCCACTCTGTCCTGCCCAGCCTTCGTCTGTGCCCTGCAGCCCCAGGCACCCCTTCTCCCCCTGCTCTTGGACTGTCTCCTCTCTTTCTGGCTGCCCCGTGTCTGTGTGTGTCACACACATGTAGACCTGAAAGCACACATATTTGTGTTGTGATTTTTTTTCCCTGAGCCACTTCAGAACAATGAGGGCATGGTGTACCCGGCTCCTCCTAGCTACCCAAGTATGTGTTTTGTTTTTTTTTTTTCTTTAAAAAAAGGACATTTTCTTCCAAAACAAGTGTCAAGATCGGATTTGACATTGATGTAGTACTGATATCCAACCCACAGATCTTTATTGAGTGTCACCAGTTGTCCTTGATGGAAAAAGAAGGGAAAGGATCTTTTGAAAAGAAAACCAGCCACTGAGACCAGCAGCCGACCCGGGCTCTGTGGCGCTTCTTTCCTCCAGGCTGGCTCCCCAGGCATTCTGTCCTTCGTGACCTTGACTCTTTTGAAGGGCATGGGCCGGGTAGCCTGGGGGCCACCCTCCATTGGGCGTGGGTGGCTGTTTCCTGTGCTCCCGGGGTGGCTGCTGGCCACTGTCCTCACTGTAGCCGGCACTGGGCACTTGGGCACCGCTGCTCCCAGACACCTCCACTGCGCCTCAAGCCTTGAGTGATGCCCTGTGCTGTCCCCCTCCATCCATCCCCCCTGTCCTGTCCCCAGGTGTCTGCTGTTCCCAGCAGCTGCGATGTGAAGTCTGCTACGTACTAGGCACAGTCACCTCATCTGTCTGCTTCCTCCCCACCTGGGGCCAAGTTCACTCAGCTCCCCCTGAGATGCCACCTCCAAGTCTCAAGGCTTTCTCGGATGGCAAGCTGCCCCACCTTCTGCTCAGTGGGCTTGCCTGGTTTGTACCACTCGAGTGACACTGCATAGCCCAGGCTGGCCTCCAACCATCCTGCCTCAGCCTCCTGAGTGCTGGGACTGCAGGGGTGGTCCTCGCCCCTCTTGCCTTGTGCCTTGCGGATGTGCCCTCCCTTGGACTCACAGCATCTACACATGGCAGCCTCAGAGCTGCCCGCTGGCATTGGTGCCCAAAGGCCAGTGTGAGACCATGCCTTGCCCTTCCTGGAGTCTGGAGGTTCACAGAAGGCTTTTGGAGCAGGGGTCTTGGAATACCTGATTTTCCCTGATGACATCTTCACTTTGTGTCTGCTTCAAGACGAAGAAGCAGCACAGTGGGGCTGGAAAGTCGCCGAGGGGGAAACTGCCCATCGCGTATTAACAGTGGCCCTTCTGGCTGTTGGCACTCGGAGCGAGCAGTGGGCATGAGTGCCACCTTCCCAGGCCTGCTTCTTCCACTTGATCCTGCTCCTCTTCCTTTTTCTGGTTTTGAGACAGGTTCTCATGAAGCTGCCCAGGCTGGCCTTGAATCTGCTATGATCCTCCTGCCTCAGCCTGTCAAATGCTGGGACGATGGGTGTGTGCCACCACACCTGGCCTTTTCTTCTTTCTTCTTTTATTCTTTCTGCCTTTTCACTCTTTTGATAGCTTCTTCTTCCTATCTTGATTATTTTATTTTTTGGCTTACTGGATATAATTTTATGTTTTATGAACTGTTAATATAAAAAGGAGGTGATGTTTTTTTTTTTTTTGCAGTGATCCTCCTGCCTCAGCCTCCAGAGTCCTGGGATCATAGGTGTTTGCTACCACAGCTGACTCAAAAATAGGTGATTTTTTAGAAGAAGAAACTTGATCCTTTTTTACTACTTGGGGGTCCTCTGTGATTCTTCTCCATGCTCAGTGGTTCTTGGTTATACCTTTG